ACCTAGGAGTACAAGTACATAGTTTATTGAAAATCCATCACAGGTGGATAGGGTGGTGAAGAAGGCATTTAGCATGCTGGCCTTCACTGGTCGAGGCATGGAGTATAGGAGTTGGGATGTTGTGAAGCAACTGTATAAGTCATTCATGAGGTACTCTATTGTGTACAGTTTGTGTATAGAAAAGCTATAGTTAAACTGGAAAATGTGCAAAGAAGATTTACGAGGATGTTGCCAGGACTAGTAGACCTGAGTTATAGGGAGAGATTGGCCAGGATAAGACTTTATTCCTTGGAACGTAGGAGAATGAGGGGTGATCTTATTGAGATGTATAAAATCATGAGGAGCTTAGATAGGATGAATGCACATGGTCTTTTTCCCAGGGGTGGGGAATTGAAAACTAGAGGAATAGGTTTAAGGTGAGAGGGGAAAGATTTAAGAAGGACCTGAGGGGCTGTTTCTTCATGCAGAGAGTGGTGCGTGTACGGGATGGGCTGCCAGAGAAAGGGGTTAAGGCAGGTACAATAGCAACATTTAAAAAACGTCTGGATAGGTACATGGATGGGAAGGGTTTAGAGGGATATGGACCAAATATGGGCAATTGGAACGAGCTGAGTGGGCCACCATGGTCAGCATGGACCAGTTTGGGCTGAAGGGCCTGTTTCCATGCTGTATCACTCTATGGCTCTACTAACAGCGCTATCAAGCCAGCATCTGCTCAGCAATAACCTGTTCACTGATGCCCAGTTTGAGTTCCACCAGGACCATTCAGCTGCTGATCTCATTACAGCCTTAGTTCAAACATGGACAAGAGCTGAATTCCAAAGGTGAGGTGAGAGTGACAGCCCTTGATATCAAGGCTGCATTCGACCGAGTGTGGCATCAAGGAGCCCTAGCAAAACTGGAATCAATGGGTATCAGGGGGCAAACGCTCCACTGGTTAGAGTCGTACCTGACACATAGGAAGGTGATTGTGGTTGTTGGAGGTCAATCACCTCAGCTCCAGGACAACTCTGCAGGATTTCCTCAGGGTAGTGTCCTAGGCTCAACCATCTTCAGCTACTTCATCAATGACCTTCCCTCCATCATAAGGTCAGAAGTGGGAAGGTTTGCCGATGTTGCACGTTGTTCAGCACCATTCGCAACTCCTCAGATACTGAAGCAGTTCCTGTCTGCTGCATCACAGCGCCAGGGACCCAGGTTTGATTCCACCCTTGGGTGACTGTCTGTGTGGAGTTTGCACATTCTCCCTGTGTCTGTGTGGGTTTCCTCCGGGTGCTCCGGTTTCCTCCCACAGTCCAAGGATGTGCACGTTAGGTGGATCAGCTATGGTAAATGTGAGGACAGGAATGGGAGGTTTGGTGCAGACTGAATGGGCCAAATGGTCTCTTTCTGCACTGTAGGATTCTATGATTTTATGTCCAAATGCAGCAAATCTGGACTGGGACAGTTTTGGGCTGAAATGTGGTAAGGAACATTCTCGCCACACAAATGCCAGGTAATGATAATCTCCAATAAGAGACAACCTAAGCATTGCCCCTTGACACTCAGTGGTGTTACTATCACTGAATCCCCCACTATCAACACTCTTCGGATTACCATTGACTTGAAACTCAACTCGACACGTCACATGAACACAGTGGCTACAAGATGGGCACTAAATGCTCTCCCAGCCAGTCAGCCACATCCCATGAAAGAATATTTAATCTCTACCACCATTCCAATTCACGAAGAAAGCAACACGCTTCCCACAAATCTTCTTAACTAGTTCAGCAACATTTAATCACTTCAGGGACAGGACTCTGTTCCAGAGTTTCAAATCACTCACTAAGCTCTTATTGCTTATCAGGGGAATCAAGTCTGGCAATACTACGGAACTAAACTAGAAGGCCAGTTCCTCATTCAAGACAAATTCCACGGAATTCCAGATAATCTGGGGGCTGCAGTCGAGTGTCCCGAGGGAGAGTGCCAACACGATTCCGTGCTTTTCTTCAAAGGTAAGACCATTCCCTGAAATGGGACATGACCCTCTGACAGCGCGGCGCTCCCTCAGCGCTGACCCTCCGACAGCACGGCGCTCCCTCAGCGCTGACCCTCCGACAGCGCGGCGCTCCCTCAGCACTGACCCTCCGACAGCGCGGTGCTCCCTCAGCGCTGACCCTCCGACAGCGTGGCGCTCCCTCAGCACTGACCCTCCGACAGTGCAGCTCTCCCTCTGTAATGCAGCCTCCCTCTATACTTGTGTTTACAGGAGCCACCACGTACTTGTTTGATCTGAGCACCAACACAGTGAAGCAAAGGCCATGGACAGGGTTACATCACTGTACAGCTGCTATGAGGTGGATTGAACGGTATTACTGCTTCCAAGGGTCAAACTTCACTCGCTTCCATCCTCACACTGGGATGGTTTTTGAGAACTACCCGAAGGATGCGCGGAATTACTTCATGCAGTGTGAAGGCCGAGGTGAGAGGTTCGTTATTGCTCCTGTTTCAGCGACATGGGAAGTTTGAACTGGATACTGACTCCAGAACTGGGCTTTTTTCTCTCATCCACAGGCCATGGGAACAAAACTGCCGATCCTTCCATCCATAACCGTTGCAGTAATCGGTCCTTTGACGAATTTAATCAAGATGAATTCGGAAGAGTTTATGCATTCCGAGGTGAGTATCACATTCAGTGGGAATGCCCCATTCAGTGGGTAGCCCTTTGTGGAATCCTGATACACTATCCCTCGGTTACGAGGAAATATTTAACAAAAACAGATGCTGGGAATCGAACCGTGCTGCAGAAACCCAGTGGATCTGGCAGCATCAGCAAAGAGAGGAACTAAAGTTCATCCCTCAGTTAGTGACCTTCCATCAGAGGCAAAAAAGGGTCAGAGCTTCTTTCTGTGTATTCATTGACTCCTGTCAGTACATATCCAATGAAGGAAGCTGAGGGCCCTTTTGGTACAATATTCCCACTGCACCAACCTCTTTCAATTCTCATTTGAAATTCCCATGAAAGTGGGACAGAAGGCTACTTGGGCTTGACTCCACCAGCCGGGAATTGGTGGTTTCCAAAATAAAATTGGGAATACTACAGTCAGACAGGGATGTCTGGGAGTCTGTTATCTACCTGACTTTTTTTTATTTCTTCACGGGATGTGGGTCACTGGCTGAGCCAGTATTTATTGTCCCGAGGGCAGTTAAATGTCAGTCCCATTGCGGTGGGTCTGGAGTCACAAAGACGCCAGTCCAGATAAGGATGGCAGATTTCCCTGAAGGGTAATAGAGAACCAGTTGGGTATTTTTCTGACAACAGACAACAGTTTCATGATCATCATTAGATTCTTAATTCCAGATTTTTTTTGAATTCAAATTCCACCATCTGCCGTGGTGGGTTTTCAACCCACATTCCCAGAACATTAACCTGTGTCTAGAATGTTGCCTCCTTTCACCCTAACCAATTACAGAAATTTCCCACAATGTTGGGCTCGGTGTGTGAGTAGTAGCTTTGAGCCAAGGCTCCCCTCATCCCGGCTGCTTCCTTTGGTC